AGTCCTGCGTCAGGCTCTGTGCTGACAGCTCAGAGCCTGGAGCCTGCTTCGGATTCTGTGTCCCCCACTCCCTCTGCCCCTCCTCTGCTCGCGCTCTGTCTCTCTCTGTCTCTCTCTCTCAAAAATAAATAAATACTTTAAAAAATTTCTTAAGCGTATGTATTTATTTTAAGAGAGACAGAGACCGCGCGAGTTGGGGAGGGGCAGAGAGAGAGGGAGAGAGAGAGAATCCCAAGGCAACTCCACGCTGTACGTGCAGAGCCTGATGCAGGGCTCGAACCCACAATGCCACGTGGTCATGAGACCATGACCTGAGCCAAAACCAAGAGTCAGACACTTAACCGACTGAGCCACCTGGGGGGCCCCAACCATAAGAGACTCTTAAGTACAGAGAATGGAGGGTTGCCGCGTGGGGGAATGGGCTAGATTGGGGACGGGTGCAAAGGAGGGCACTTGTTGGGATGAGCACTGGCTGTCTTGTGGAAGCGATGGGTCACCAAATTCTACTCCTGAAATCGTGATGATGCTGTGTGTTAACTAACTTGATTTAAATCAAATGCAAAAATTTAAAAAAAAAAAATAAAGAAAAAGAAAATCAGATTCTCATCGATTTCCCACCATAAAGAAGAACCCAATCTGAGTCACGACAGAAGGAGGCTCTGGTAATCCAGCTCCCTCTTCCCATTTGAGAGCTCCCACTCACTCGCACGAGTAGGCTGCCTCAGAAATTGCCAGTGCTGTCGTATCGCGTGTTGTTCCCCTCCTGCACTATCGTCCCCCCATCATGCCCATGTGCTTCCACACACCCCCCACTGGGCCTCTTGGGGCCAAAGATGCCACCCCGGAGGATTGAGGAGGATTGATGCCACCCCTTCAGCAAAGATGGGAAGGAAGAGGCGTGAGAAGGCCATCTGGCTTTGCTCTTAGGTTGTGCAGAAACCGCTTCGAAATCAGGAGGAATCGAGTGGCTGACAATATGGCCGTCATCTGACGCTGAGCTTACCAATCTACACTCTAGACTCTGTGAATGTCACTGGCACCGGAGTGAGGAGAGATGAGCCAGAGGAAGTCAAGCTGTTCCCAGGCCAGGGAGCGGAACGCTGAGCGGAACCTGGCGACAGAAGACAGATAACAAAGCGCACGCCAGGGTCCACACCCTAGGCACGATCTCCCCGCACCTCTTTTTCTGCACTCGCCGACAGACCCTCCACACGCTGGCCTGGGTACCTGCCATCTGCCATTGGCAGGCTGCCCTCAAGTACTGAGGCACAGGAGAACCGATATGAGACCTTTCCTGCTTTGCCTCGAGTATGTGCTCAGGAGCAAGCAGAAGTCCCCAGGAAGAACAAAACAAGATACACAAGGAATTGTCTCAGAGCCCCTCGAAAACCCCATCACCTCTTCCTGCCCCCATCATTGTCAGGTCCCGTGCTGAAGGACAAAGTTCCCCCAAGACCCTGGTTCCAGACGACCTCCACTTGGGACCTGGACAACATACCAGAAGGCATCCCGGTGTTCAGGATACACTTGAGACCCCAACGGAAAGGAGCCAAACTGACCTTAGGCTCTGAACTGAAGAAAGCTTCCTCTTTCCCTCAGCTTCCAGAGATTTCCATAATAACACTACGGTGGGGATTATCGTAGAGGGCCTGGTAGTAGATCTCTGGGGCCTGGACACTGGCCTTGAGGCCCGACTCTGCCGCTAAAAGCTGCCGCAAAATGAGAAGGAGCAGAGAACCAGGAAGAGCACAGGGCTTCCGCTTCTGGTGCCTCTGGTCAACAAGTCTCAACACTGCGCTGTATCCTGGGGACACAGAGATGACTGCGACACAAGCCCCACCCCCAGGCGCACGCGGCCCACTAGCGAGGACAGATTCAAACACCAACAACCACCGCAAAGCAACGCGTGTTATGTTCTGATGACACCCTGGAAGAGAGCGAAGGACAAACTGTTGACTTGGGTCCTTTGCTCACTAACCAATTGATCTCGCATTGAAGCCCAGGACTTCCCCCTACGACACTGCCGAAGCCATAACCGTTTTTGCTTTTCTGCTAACCCACCTTATCATCCCCACCAGAGATCTTTCCTTTCGTTGTAAAACAAAACAAAACCAAACAAAAAAACAGAAAAATATCAGCAGCCATTTTATAAATTCGGAACAAACCCCCTTTTTCTTCCACCCACCAAAGCTCAAGGTTATTGGCATCCCGTCTGGCACCGTCTCCTCCCTCTCCTGTTCTCCTTTCCAGAAATGCTTTGTCCTTTTCCTCCCAGACCTCCCTCATCCGGGCAGCACCGAAATTCCTGCCCTTTTCTTCTTAACAAAACTCACCTACCAGACAGTTTCCGATGGATCCGTCATCACCAAAGATGGGGGGGAGAAACTCACCTCTCTGCCCGAGAGTTGAAAATGTGTGTTCACACAAAAACTTGTACGTGAACCTTCAGAGCAGCGCTCTCCGCAGTAGCCAAAAAGTGGAAGCAATCCACACCTCCATCAACTGAGGGGGGAATAACACGAAATAGGTTATATCCATACAATGGAATATTATTTGACCGTAAAAAAGAGTGAAGAACGGACACCTGCTATGACACGGATGACCCTTAAAAACATTACACTGAGTGAAAGAAGCCAGATGCAAAAGGACAAATATTGGAGGGTCCCATTTATAGGAAGTGTCCGGGATGGGCAAATCCATGGAGACAGGAAGCAGATTAGCGGCCGCCAGGAGCAGAGGGCACGAATTCGAGAATTAGGCGAGAATGCTGAATGGGTACAGGTTTTCTTTTGGGGGTGATGGAAAAATTCCGGAGTTAGAGAGTGGTGATAGGTGTACAACCTTGTGAGGATACTAA